CATCCATCATCTAATAGTTGCTGTTCGAACGATTGTTCGAACGATTCATCGATGGCGACAGATAGCGTGTAGCGCGGTTGCTGTCAATGGACAATCGCTCTTGGCGATTCAAACGATAGCGGCGTTGAGCTTCACTGCGCTTGCGCTTCTTCTCATTCGCCATCTGCTACTAACGAGCAATTACAGATCTGTAAAACCCTTCGTCCTCCGCGGCAATGGTATCAACGAGAGGTGGAAGTTCGTCAATGCGAACGTCGTGCGCTGGATCGTGTTGTAGTTTTTCTCGCTCCAAGTGTACGTAGCCAAGGAAATCTTCCAGAGAGTGCACACGCGACCGAAAAAGTTCTCCACAACCACCCGATCGGAAGAGATATCGTGGTTTCGATCCATGTCATGGGCATCCAATACGCCGTGCACCGGTCGACGCTTCGGATGAATACCCCGCAGCGAGTGGGCAATTCCGATGTAGCCCATGTCGACCAAACACGCCCACGACCCCCGGTACTGCCTACTCAACTCACCATATTCTGGCACATCCTGCTCACCCGCCGACTTCAACAGGTTGGTCGCGTGAATGGCAGTGCGGGTGTGCAAATCGTCAGGTCATGCACAGATCCTGGGAAGCTCTCGGACATTGCGACACATCGGCCTTCCGGTGACACGCTTGCCTCGATCTTGTAACCGTATAGATGGAGCTTCCCGCTGAAGTAGTGATTCTGCTCCGCAAAGCGTCCCGTTGGACGCTGTGCTGGCTGAAACGTCACATCGACTTCATACAGCACGTACGAAAAATGGTCAAATCGTCGATCCGAGTTGGACAGGTCGGACATGGATGGAACTCGAATCAACTCGACGTAGAGCACAGGCTGAACAGAGTGTAGGACGCGCATGATGAGCTTCTCGAAGGTTGGTGCCTTGTACCCAAAGTCAGGTGCGTGTTTTTCCCACGGTGAAAAGTGTTTCAACACGGCGAGGGCCATAAATAGCGCGTCCTTGGGGCTAGTCGTTGAGCGCCGGCCACGACCTTCCATCCACGCAGTGTTCATAGTATCGTCCACCATCGGCCACAGCGACTCGAACTCGGTGACGGTAAAGTTGTTCATAGATCTAATACCCTCAGAGCCTAAGTCGATCAAGAACTTGTCCATCATTGGGTTTTGGGGGGGGGGGTCCTCGCAGTCGTCACGCAAGTGAGAGACCTCACCAAAGTCATGCAGGCATGACTCAAGGTAGGATTGATCTCGCACTGCTTGGTCTTGGAGACGGTTGAGTACGGCGTTGGTGTTCACA